ACAAAAAAACTAAATAAATAATAGCACCAAATTCCACATCTCTTAAACATTGAAGAGATGAAAATGTATGGAGGGAAATGCAACAGGTATGCACCCAAAAGATAAGAACAAGAATGTTAAGAGCAGCATTGCTTACAATAATCAAAACTAAAAACAGCTCAATGTTTATCAACAGTAGAACAGATAAATAAATTATGGTATATTTATATAATAGAAACTCAAGAAACTATCATTACACTTGACAACATGAATAACCCTTACAAACTTAATGTTGTGAGAAAGAAGCCAGACTCAGAAGAGTGTGTAACGTATGACCCCATCTACCTAAAGGTCAAAACTTAGGAAAATTAATTTCTGGTGTTAGAATTCAGGACAATGGTTACCTTTGGGCAGGAGTAAGAGGAAGAGATTTAAGAGAGAATCTGGGAGGTTTCTGAGTACTGGTAATTTTTTTATCTGAATGGTGAATACAAGGGTGTGTACACTCATCTTTTGTGTTATCTTCTGAATATACTTTATACTTAAATAAAAACTTTAGACGTTATCTAGGATTAAGAAACCACTGTTAGACTGAATTTGAGCACTGAGTTGATGCTTATCAACTCAATGAAGTCTCACCAGCAACGATAAACAGATCAGTCTTATTTACTTATTATATTTATTTTAAATCCAGTTTTAATTTTATAATTGGTTTAGATTTACAGAAAAGTTCCAGTGAATAGACTGACATTTACAAAAGAGTTGTAATGATAATACAGAGCTCCCATTTATCACTCGTCTAGTTTCCCTTTATTGTTAAAATCTCATGTTACAATAGTATGTTTATTATAACTAAGAAACAAGTATTGGTGTATTATTATTAAATAAATTCTACTCTTCATTCTAATTTCACTAGTTTTTCTACTAACCTTCATTTTCTGTTCCAGGATCTCATTCAAAATTCGATTTTTTGAAAAGATAAGCAAAATCAACAAACTTTTAGCCAGACTAAGAAAAAATGAGAAATGACCCAAATAAATAAAATCAGAGATAAAATAGGAGACATTACAACTGATACCAGAGGAATATAAAAATCAGAAGAAACTATTAGGAACAATGCTATGCCAACAAATTTGGTAACCCAGACAAAAGGGAAACATTTCTGGACACATACAACCTACCAATACTGAATCATGAAGCTATAGAAAATGTGAACAGATCAGTAACAAGTGGCGGATTGAACTAGTATAAAAGGTCTCCTATTAAAGAAAAGCCCAGGACATGTTGACTTTACTTCTATCAAACATTTAAATAACAAATTCTAATTCTTCTCAAACTCTTCCAAAAAATTGAAGAGGAGGAAATACTGCCAAGGTCCTTCTATGGGGCAGGCATTGCCCTGATTGCAAAATCAGGCAAGGACACAACAAAAATGAAAGCTTATAGGCCAGTACCCCTGATGAATATAAATGCAAAAATCTTCAACAAAAGAGATCACTAACCATGGTCAAGTAGGATTCATAGCAGACATGCAAGAATGATTCAACATAAAGCAAATTAATAAATGTGATACAACACTTTAACAGAATGAAGGACAAAAACCACATTGATCATTTCAATACAGGAAAAGCATTTGACACAATCCATTATTTTTCTCTGAAAAAAAGCTCAGTGAATTAGGTATAAAAGGAATGTACTTCAACACAATAAGGGCCATATATGACAAGCCCACAACAGCTAATATACTGAATAGACAAAAGTTGAATGCTTTTCTTCTAAGAACTGGAACAAGACAAGGATGCCCACTTTCTCACTTCTATTTGACATAGTACTGGCAGTCCTAGCCAGAGCAGTTAGGTAAGAAAAAAAAATAAGGCATCGAAATTGTATAGAAGTTAAATGGTCCTTGTTTGCAGATGACAAGACCTTATATCTAGAAAACCCTAAATACTCCACTAAAAAAAGCTGTTATAACTAATAAATTTAGTAAGTTTGCAGGATATAAAATCAACATACAAAAATCAGTAGCATTTCTATACACAAAAAGCACACTATTTGAAACAGACATCAAGAAAACAATCCCACTTACAATGGCTACAAAAACAACCCATAAAATAAAATACTTAGGAATAAATTTAACCAAGGAGGTGAAAGATCTGTACACTCAAACTATAAAACCCTGATGAAAGAAATTAGAGAAGATGCAATAAATGGAAAGATATTCTGTGTTTATGGATTGGAGGAATAGTTAAAATGCCCATACCTACCCAAAGCAATCTACATATTCAGTGCAATCTCTAACAATATATCAATGACGTTCTTCTCAGAAATAGAACAAAAAATCCTAAAATTTGTATGGAACCACAGAAAATCCTGGATGGAGAAAACAATGTTGAGCAAAAAGAACAAAACTGAAGTCATCACAATACCTCACTTCAAAATATTTTACAAAGCTATCACAATCGAAACAGCATGGTAGTGGCATAAAAATGGAAAAATTAACCAATGGAACAGAATATAGAGGCCAGATATAAAGCCACACATCTATGGTCAATTGCTTTTTAACAAAAGGTGCCAAGAACACACAATGGAGAAAGGACAGTCTGTTCAGTAGTGTTGGGAAAAACTAATGTCCACATGCAGGAAAATAAAATTAGAAACTTATCTCTCACCATATAGAAAAGCCAACTCAAAATGGATTAAATGCTTAAATTTAAGACTCAAAACTATGAAACTTCTAGAAGAAAACATAGGGAAAAGGCTCCATGACATAAGTCTGGGCAAGATCTTATCTTTTTGGTTAAGATCTCAAACTCATAGGCAACAAAAGTGGACAGACAAATGGGATAACATCAAGCTAAAAAGCTTCTGCATAGCAAAAGAAAAAATCAAGTGAAGAGACAACCCACATAATGGGAGAAAATATTTGCAAACTATTTAATTAGCAAGGGATTAATAACCAGAATATTTTATATAAGGAGCTCAAACAACTCAATAGGAAAGCAAAAACAAAAACAAAAACAAATAATCCAATTTAAAAAATGGGCAAAAGATCTGAACAGGCATTTCTCAAAAGAAGACATACAAATGGCCAACAGGTATATGAAAAAATGCTCCGTATCACTAATCATCAGATAAATGCAAATCAAAACAATGAGCTATATCACCCCAGCAAGAATGGCTTTTATCAAACAAAACAAAACAAAACAAAACAAAACAGGGAACAACAGATGCTGGTGAGAATGTGGAGAAAGGGGAACCAGTGTGCACTGCTGGTGGAAATGCATATTACTAGAGCCACTGTGAAAAACTGTATGAAGATTCTTCAGAGAACTAAAAATAGAACTACTATATGATCCAGCAATTCCACTACTGGGTATAGATCCAACAGAAAGGACATACATATATCGAAGAGATATCTGCACTTCTATGTTTATTGCAGCACTATTTACAATAGCCAAGATTTAGGACCTAAGTGTCCATGCAGCAGATGAATGGATAAAGAAAATGGGGTACATATACACAATGGAATATTATTCAGCCATAAAACCCTCCACAAAACTCTTTTATTTGCAGCAACATGGATAGAACTGGAGGTCATTATGATGAGTGAAATAAGCCAAGCACGGAAAGACAAAGAATGCATGTTTTCACTCATATGTGGGAGTTTGGAAAGTGGATCTCAGAGACTGAGAAGTATTGCGGGGGGGCGGGCCGTGGGGGAACGAGGGGAGATAAACATACACTTAGAAGAAACATACACTTAGAAGAAATAAGACCTGGTGTTCCATAGATCAGTAGGATGACTATAGTTAACATTAATCTATAGTACATGTCAAAATAGCTAGAAGAGAATAATTTGAATGTTCCTAGCACAAAGAAAAGATAAATATTTAAGAGGATGAGTAACCCAGTTATGCTGATTACAGAAATGAATCAAATTATCAGGTGTACCATGAAAATATGTACAGCTATTGTGCATCAAAAAGTTGAAGAAAATAAAAATTTTAATTTTTTCATATGCAATATATACTGCATATCGTGTATTGATTCTGTTCATATATAAGTAAATATCCTTACTGTTTTGCCTCATTAGGAGCATTCAGACAGCAAATAATGTGTAGTTCAACATTTTACTAAATATTTTCCATCTTAGTGGATATTTTGTAACAAGATAAATATGATGCAAACTAAAAAAAAGGTGCCAAAGCCGGGCGTGGTGACTCACGCCTGTAATCCTAGCACTTTAGGAGGCTGAGGCGGGAGGATCACAATGTCAGGAGATCAAGACCATCCTAGCCAATATGGTGAAACCTCGTCTCTACTAAAAATACAAAATATTAGCTGGGCGTGGTGGCACGCCCTTGTAGTCCCAGCTACTCGGGAGGCTGAGGCAGGAGAATCTTGAACCTGGGAGGTGGAGGTTGCAGTGAGCCAAGATCGCGCCACTGCACTCCAGCCTGGCAACAGAGCGAGACTCCGTTAAAAAAAAAAAAAAGGCCATACTGAATCTACCAAAAATAAATCAAAATGGAGTAAGAGAGACTGCCAGACCATCTTCTTCATGAGAGGTAATGGTCAGAGGCTTCTGAACGTTGGTATGTAAATGAGCCTGCAGGCAGGATTTGTATACAGGGCAGAGGAGGTTTGTAAACTAGGTGAATTATACCTTCAGAGCGCATATAATGTATATTATACTTTTCCTCTGCGTATGCGTTCCAGCCTTATTACCTATGTATCACCTGATCCACCAAGTCTAGACTGAAGAAGTCCTAGCAGGACTACACTACACATGGCGAGTCAGTACTTGGAGGAGATTATTCCGAAGAGGATTTGTAGCCACTGCCCACTGTATATTACCTAGGCCCTTTACACTGGCCCCAGTGGAGCGGGAAAGCCAGCAGGAAGCTCCTCCCGCTGGCCTGGGAGCGGGCTGTCCATAGGACCCAAAGCACCTCCCACGGGAGAAACGCCCGGCTTTGCTTCTGGCCCCGCCCCGCCTCCCTCCAGGCCCCTCCCCGCCCCCTCGGCCCCGCCCCACCTCCCCGGCCCCGCCCCTCCTCGCGGCCTCAGCGTCTTCCTTCCGGGTCGCGCTGGGCCGGGTTTGCGGTGGTTGTGCAGCGGCCAGAGAGCCGGGGAGCCGCCCCCGCACCCAGGCCTTCTCGCACTGCCTGGTCGCTGGTGAAGCCCGCTGCGCGCGCCTCTCCCGGACCCTGCAGGGTACGGCCCTTCCTTTATTTCTCCCTCCCGTGGGTCTCTGTCTTCTTCCTTCGGCACTGGGGCGGGGCGGGGCCGAGCCAACGCGCAGCTCCGCGCTTTGGGGAGTCTGGACGGCTGGCAGGGGCCCCCGCTGCCGGCCCCTCCCCGCCCGCTGCCCCGCGCCCCCGCTTCACGCTTGCGGGGCTTGCTGGGGCCCCTGAGAACTGCTGACGTGCTTCGGGCTATTTCTACGCTACAGTCTGCCTGCAGGCTGTGAGGCGTCCTCCGGAAGTGTGCGCGGCTCAGGGTTGTTTACACCAGGGGGGACTGCGGGTCGCCCACACCAGCGCTCTGTGCTGCCCCGGCAGCCACGCGTCGGCCACACGCCCGCCTGTGCTTGTGATTCCTGTGCCTCCTCCCTTGATTTCCCTCTGACATCCGATGGTTTTTGCCTAACCAGGCCTATGTTTTCTTTCTTCAGGACTGCTAGAAGGTGCCCAGCTACAACCTTGTTTCGATGTTTAGGTTTAGGGGTGCCTCTAGAGTGTGATGATGACCATCTGCTTGGCCTCCTTGTCAACATATTTATAACGGGTGGTTTTGGATTTCCTTGATTTCCCAGTGATCATTGCCACAAAGCTTCGAGATGCATTCACAGATTGAAATACAGTATACAAATAACTATTATAGAAGGTGAAGATGGTATAAGCTTGCAGTCAGGTAATTGCGTCGGCCTGATGCCCGGCTGGCTTTATGCTCCGGAGGGCACACTACCACCAGGTGCAGGGATCTCTGTGGACAGGCTCTGTTCGCAGACACAAGCTGCCTTTTCTGCTGCTTGCGTGCACTCCTCGGTTTCTTAAGTTCAGGTATAGGTATATATTTTTTTCTTTCAGGCTCACTTCCTGCCTCCATTATCCTATAACGCATATTATATCTGTTGGTCGAGTAGAGAGAGATTCATCCAGAGTCATGAACGCTCCAATAGTCCTTTATCAGATTAAGGACTTGGGGGAAATGTGCATTATGCTCTAGTAGGCACTCTAAAAGTTCCTTGAATTGGATTCTTCTTTCCATACTTGTGTTCTGAGTACTAACTTTGTTTTTAACTTCTGTCCCAAAAGTTGGCTTTTCTGAACTCTGCATTTTCAAACTCTTCCCTTCTGTTACTGACTTGAAAATCAGATAAATCAGCTCATTGTAAGATGGATAATTTCTTTACTCACGCAATGATGAAATAATGCAATTATAGTACTCTGCACAATGGTACATATGGTGCTTGCACATATGGTCAGTTAACAAAAACTACCCCTTCTTTCTTTACTGTGTTAGTCTCATCCTCTTAATTTTGCTGTGGTTGACATTCTCGATCTTAACTTCGCGGATCTAACTTCAGCGTCCTTTTAAAAAGGCCTTTATCTACATGAATTATATATAAATATCCACCTCCGTTTTCTTCTAGTATTGTTAATGATCTTATTCATATTTAGTGTGAGATAAGAAGGCTCTAACTTTATGATTTTGTTACTGACTGCATCATCATTTGTTGAATTCTATTTTTCCCTGCTGATCAGTCCTATAAATACCATAGGCCCTAAATTCTCGTGTATTCTTGGGACTTTCTGAACGGTCGTGCAGTGTTCTTTGGCTCCCTGTGGTGATGCTGGCTTCTGTGATGCTCTTACTGCTCTAGGTTTATAATGTGTTTTAATGTCTAGGGATTGGAACGATGCCTGGCATATTGTAGACATCACTAAATATTTTTGAAATGAACACATTTAGTGGGGGCAAGTTGATTCCCTTTCTTTACCTCTTGCCCCTTTAAAATTTTCCTGCCAGTTATTGAGATTCGTTTATTTTAGCTTGCTTTTTCCATGGTCAGTTGAATCATTAACTGTTAGTAAATAAATCCCTTCTGTTGCTCACTCAGAACTTGCGATTAGAGTTGCTCCTTACAGTTACATGGAGAAGTAGCCTGATGAAAAATCTGCATGCCTTATGACTTTGCACTGTATCATAGTAACTGTAGTGTGCCTCTCCCCATCACCTATGATTTAGGATGTTCTGTACCTGGTTTCTAAGAGAAAAAATGGTTATCTGAGAGATAAATGGCTGAAGTGTTCCCTGGGACATCCTCATATCCGTTTGTATTTTACCATCCCAACTGGATATCTCAAATATAATAAATTTTAAGATGTTGTTACTGTGGACACTTAAAACCTTATTAGCTCATGAAATAAATGTATTCATTCTTTAAAAAAGATCAAGCAATACAGAAATCCTCAAAGGTGGAAGTGAAAGTGCTGTGTGCCCACCTACCCAGTAACCTTGTTCCATAAAGATTATCACTGCTTGCAGATTTTAAAAATAATAGATTTAAGTCTACTTTTGTTTCATAAATGGCAGTGTACCATGTATAATTTTCTATAGCTTCCACTTAATAATAATGGATGAACATCCTTCTGTGTCAGTGCATATAATAGTATCTTGTCTTTTTTGTAAGTCTTTTTGGTATTTCATTGTAGGAATAACCCAAAAGTTATTTAGCCAATCCCCTGTTGGCATTATTCCACATTTATTACAAACAGAACTGCAAGGATCATTTTTGTGTTTATTCTGTATATTGTCATATTTGCATGTGAGTTTATTTCCTAAGATATGGAATTGCTAGGTCAGAGGCTACACATAAGTGTTAAATTGTGAGAGATTCTGCCAAAGTATCCTCAAAAGTTGTTGGTAAGAGTAAATTTAGACAATTTATTAAAATGCTGCTTTTGCCACATCACATTGCGAATAATTGTCAAGGATCTGAGATCATACCCTACTTGCAAGCTAACAGTTTCATGGAAACTGGCAGAAAATATGAGACTCCTGACTGAGAGACAAAACACAACAGTAACGGTAGCCAGAGGATCATCTTATGCTGATTTGCTGGAGCCCTGATTTCCACGGGGTGATGTGCCAAGAGCCCAGTGACACTAGCAGGTGAAGTAGGTTGTGTTACAAGAGAGGAATCCTTAGTTTAGGGAACCTGAATCTTTCATAGTGGGCTGCAAATAAACATGTCTGATCTTTGCCAGAGAGGGAGACATTATCTTTATTTTCCTGCATGGTAAACAAACCTGCCCTCTGTACCAGAGGGAGACATCTCTTTATCTGCCAAGGCTATTTGCTGTGTGAACACCACTGAAAAGATGAAAAATAAAGGCCATCAGTGCCTCTGCTTATATGACATGCAGAAACTTGAGAGACTTGCTAAGATGAAATGATTATTTTTTTATATTTAGTAATTTTTTGGATGAAAAATACTGTTTTATTGTGTTAGTGTTGCATTTCTTTGCTTATTGATGGGGTTGACTATCTGTATGTTTGTTGGTCATTTGTATTCATTTTTACTTGCATGATCATATCCTTTGCTTAGGTTTCTGTTGAAATGTTCCTCTTTTCTAATTGATTTGTAATAGCTCTTTACATATTGTGGCTATTAACGATTTGGTTCACCATATGCTAGTATTTTGTCATAGTCTATTTTTTAGTGTTTCTTGGGGCTTTTGCTGTATAAAGGTCTTTATTATTTATGTTGCCAGTTCTGCTGTTGTTTTCCTTTATGGCCTCTGGGTTTCCACCCCAAGATTATTAAAATGCTCTTTGTACACATTCTGTTATCACATATTTAGATTTTTAAAAATGGTTGCTATGGCATAGTATCACAAATTTATTTTTCCAAATTGCTGGACATTTTCCTAAAACATTTATTTCGGTAAACTATCCTTTCCCTGTTATTTGACTTGACACATTTGTTGTAAGATACTATATCCTTAATTTGTTGTTTTCTCAAAGCCAACAAATCAGTAAGCAAAGTATGTTAGATACTTACTGTGATTATGATTTTGGTTGAATTCAGCCTTAAAGATAATATGTGTAATTGTTCTTAGTGGATTTTATCTTAAAAAATATAAAGTGTCTTTTTTGCCCTGTTTAATGATTTTTGCCTGGGAGTCTACATTGTCTTATATCACTCTTGCCTCTCTGTCAGTTTTGTGTGTACCTAGTAGGTCTTTTTTGCCCATGTGTTTATTTTCAGTAATTTTACACCATTTTGCTTTACTTGCCTTTCATAAACATCAAACATTCATGTAACTGAGCTGGACTTTTATTTCTCCCTGAAATCTTCCCCCTTTCCAATTTGGAAGTTTGCCTTTTTTTTTTTTTTTTGAGATAGAATCTTGCTCTGTCACCCACGATGGAGTGCAATGGTGTAATTTTGGCTCACTGCAACCTCCATCTCCTGGACTCAAGTGATCCTCCTGCCTCAGCCTCCCAAGTAGCTGGGACTGCAGGTGCACACCACCATTCCTGGCTAATTTTTGTGTTTTTTATAGAGATGGGGCTTCACCGTGTTGCCCAGGCTGGTCTCAAACTCCTGGGCTCAAGTGATTCACCCGCCTTGGCCTCCCAAAGTGCTGGGGTTGTAGGTGTGAGCCACTGTGCCCGACCTGGAAGTTTGTCCTTTTTTTGTTTTTGGTTTGTTTTACATTTTTTAAAACTTTCAAATAAGATCATTGTAGATTCATATACAGTTCTAAGAAATAATACAGAGAGATGTAGTCCTGTGTGTATTCACCCAGTTTCTACCTGTGGTAACACCTTGCATAACTATAGTACAATATTATACTCAGGAAATTGACATTGATACAACCTTATTCAGATTTCACCAGTTTTACATGCACCCATCCCTGTGCCTGTTTAGTCGTAAGTAATTTTATGTAGATTTCCTGTGAACATCACTGCAGTCAAAATATACAAGGGTTCCATCACAAGGTTACCTTGTACAAAATTGCGTTTATCTCTTAATAGGACAATTTAACCTAGTCATATTAACTTTTTTTTCCCCCTCTGCTGCAAGTTTGGAAATTCTGAAACCATCTATAAATGACTCTTTTTTTGCCCTTATTCTTCCCATTAATAAGTTGAGACCTGGATCTCTTGCCTTCTTTACATTCTTGGTTTCATTGATTTGA